AGTGTGAAGCATAGCTCCAGCACCAGGCTTGCTAATTCTCTTTTCCTGTTTTTCTAAGACTACAGTATGTGGTTGTTAGAACTTTTCCTTGTGTTCTGTATGTCTCACACCTTTTATGCATTTTCCATTCTTTTTGTGATTTCGCATAGATATTTTTACTACTCTGTTCTCTACTGTGTCTAATCTGCTTTCAAACCCATCTACTAAATTTTATTTCAGTTCATTTACTTTTTTGATAGTAATTTAAAGTCTAGGAGTGATAATCCAATACCTGTGAGTACATATGTCTGTTGGCTTTGGTCACTTTGGTCTTGTTTCCTAGCAAGCTGATGATTTTTAAAATTAAATTATGAATATTGTATATAACATTGTGTTCTCTGGATTGTGTTATCTTCCTTTACAAAGGATTCTGTTTTCTTCTGTTGTGCAAGTTTAGGAGGGAAAGAATGTCTTTTTCTTTTTTCTTAATTTTATTATTCATATGTGCATACAAGGCTTGGGTCATTTCTCACCCCCCCCCCCGCCCCCACCCCCTCCCTTACCACCCACTCCGCCCCCTCCCTCTCCCCCCCACCCCCTCAATACCCAGCAGAAACTATTTTGCCCTTATCTCTAATTTTGTTGTAGAGAGAGTATAAGCAATAATAGGAAGGAACAAGGGTTTTTGCTGGTTGAGATAAGGATAGCTATACAGGGAGTTGACTCATATTAATTTCCTGTGCGTGTGTGTTACCTTCTAGGTTAATTCTTTTTGATCTAACCTTTTCTCTAGTTCCTGGTCCCCTTTTCCTATTGGCCTCAGTTGCTTTTAAGGTATCTGCTTTAGTTTCTCTGTGTTAAGGGCAACAAATGCTAGCTAATTTTTTAGGTGTCTTACCTATCCTCACCCCTCCCTTGTGTGCTCTCGCTTTTATCATGTGCTCATAGTCCAATCCCATTGTTGTGTTTGCCCTTGATCTAATGTCCATATATGAGGGAGAACATACGATTTTTGGTCTTTTGGGCCAGGCTAACCTCACTCAGAATGATGTTCTCCAATTCCATCCATTTACCAGCGAATGATAACATTTCCTTCTTCTTCATGGCTGCATAAAAATTCCATTGTGTATAGATACCACATTTTCTTAATCCATTCGTCAGTGCTGGGGCATCTTGGCTGTTTCCATAACTTGGCTATTGTGAATAGTGCTGCAATAAACATGGGTGTGCAGGTGCCTCTGGAGTAACCTGTGTCACAGTCTTTTGGATATATCCCCAAGAGTGGTATTGCTGGATCAAATGGTAGATCAATGTCTAGCTTTTTAAGTAGCCTCCAAATTTTTTTCCAGAGTGGTTGTACTAGTTTACATTCCCACCAACAGTGTGAGAGGGTTCCTTTTTCCCCGCATCCTCACCAACACCTGTTGTTGGTGGTGTTGCTGATGATGGCTATTCTAACAGGGGTGAGGTGGAATCTTAGCGTGGTTTTAATTTGCATTTCCTTTATTGCTAGAGATGGTGAGCATTTTTTCATGTGCTTTTTGGCCATTTGAATTTCTTCTTTTGAGAAAGTTCTGTTTAGTTCACTTGCCCATTTCTTTATTGGTTCATTAGTTTTGGGAGAATTTAGTTTTTTAAGTTCCCTATATATTCTAGTTATCAGTCCTTTGTCTGATGTGTAGCTGGCAAATATTTTCTTCCACTCTGTGGGTGTTCTCTTCAGTTTAGAGACCATTTCTTTTGATGAACAGAAGCTTTTTAGTTTTTATGAGGTCCCATTTATCTATGCTATCTCTTAGTTGCTGTGCTGCTGGGGTTTCGTTGAGAAAGTTCTTACCTATACCTACTAATTCCTACTAATTTCCTACTCGGAAAGAGTGTCTTGATCCAGTTCAGGCTGCTCTGTTTTCATTTTGACAGACTTCCCAGCTCTCCTCTGAGAATGTGAGGTGTTTCTTGGTTCCTTCCTTCTTAGCAGATCTTAAATTCAATTTCTTTATTTCTCTAATTCTGTGAGACTTCTCTGTCTCTGTCTCTCTCTCTCTCTCCTTCCCTCCCTTCCTCTTTCCCTCCCTCCCTTCCTCTCCCTCTCCTCCTCCTTTGTTTTTTTTTAGATTGACCTAATCAGAACTGAGGATTTCCACTCATCAAATACCATATGGACTAAGGTAGTGAGAGATGGACAGTCTCCCATTCCTTCATCTCTCATTACCTTAGTGCTTCCTGCCTGTAATTCCAGTTATGAAGGAGGTTGAGGCAGAAAAATCACAGTCAGAGATCTACCTGGGCAAAAGCATGAGACCCTATCTGAAAACCAAACTAAAAGCAAAAGGACTGGCATCAGGCGCCAGTGGCTTATGCCTATAATCCTCGCTAAGGAGGCAGAGGTCAGGAGGATTATGGTTTGAAGCCAGCCCAGGTAAATAGTTCACAGACTCTATCTGGAAAAAAAAAAAAAACCCATCCCAAAAAAGGGCTGGTGGAGTGGCTAAAGGTGAAGGCCCTGAGTTCAAACACCAGCATCGGAAAAAAAAAAAAAAAAGGACTGGCTCAAGTGATAGAGCAGACCCTGGGTTCAATCCCCAGTACCATTCTTCGATGCTCAAAAAAAAAAGTACTACTGAAAAAAAAAGTCCCATCAGCATGAGATAGGTAACACTACTGATGTGAATTAAATATTCATGCACAAGTGAATATTCTCTTTACCAGAAAGGGAGGGGGTCTCAGAGGGAACAAGAGATACTCTGGAGGACACAGTTGACAGGCCACTCTCAAGAGTTTCTAGGTTTGGCTGAGACATTGAGCTTGGCAGAGATGGAATCTGAGATGTTGTGTATTATCTTAGTACATTTTCCATTATGCTAACAAAATATCTGGGTACTTAATAAAGAAAAGAGGTCAATTTAGCTCACTGCTTTGGAGGCCAATAGTCCAAACTGCATGGTTCTAGTTATGGTGGGGGTTCATCTTAGGGTGGGAATGCCCTTGAGAGGAAGACATCACAAGACAGGAAGCCAAGGGATAAAGAGGGGCCAGTCTTACTTTTTTTGTTTTGCTTTTTTGAGTTAAGGTCTTGCTATGTAGCCCAGGCTAGCATCAAACTCATGATCCTCCTGCCTCAATCTCCCAAGAGCTGGGATTACAGACATGTGCCCCCACTCCCACCCAGGCTCACTGTTTTATACCAACTCACTCTTGCAGGACATGGTACAGGAGAACCTGTTAGTCTCTTTTGCAGTGACCCAGTCATCTTCTGCTGGCTCCCATCTCTTAAAGGTCCCACCACCTCTTAATACAGCCACATTGGGGACCAAGCTTTCAACATGTGAACCCTTAGGGAGCAAATCACACCCAAACTAGAGAAGGCATGGAGGGTTTGACAGAGGGTCAAATAAAAAATAGAGCAAGTCTGAGAGGGAGTGAATTGACAGAGAATAGGAAGATGAGAGAGCAAAGACCTGTGGTTGAGGAAGGAGGTGACTCAGTGAGGACCTGAAGTAGGAGGATAACGACCCTACAAGGACAGCCACCCTCTATGTCCTGGAACCTGCCAATATGCCTGCCATTCAGGAGGATCAAATCCAATCCCTTAAAAGCACAGAACTGTCTCCCATGAGAACAGGAAGAGGAAGGCATAAGAAAGATGGGGTCAAAGAGGAAACAAGGGAGATGGCAAGTGTGAGACTGGATTGCTTACTCTGACATGAGTTCCAGACTGGAGTGAAGGTGTGGGAACATCCAGCTGGCAGCGATGACTCAGAGACTACAGTTCCACAAACCCAAGAAACTGGATTCTGTCAAAAACTCAAACCGAAACCAGCTTCTTCCAAGAGCTTACCCCCTTCCCAAAAAGAGCTCAGTAGGCGTGGTGTGTACATCTGTAATCCCTGCTACTCAGGAGATGGAGAGAAAAGAGAATGGAGGCCTGAGGCCAATCTGAGTAAAAGCTTGAGACCCTGTCAAAAACAAAAGACCTGGGGAGGGGTGTGTCTCAAGTGGTAAACAGAGAGGCTGAGTTCAATCTCCAGTACTGAAAAAAAAAAAGCCAGGCACCAGTGGCTCACACCTGTAATCTTGAGTACTTGAGAGTCTGAGATCAGGAGGATTACTGTTCAAGGCCAGCCTGGGCAAATACTTCTTGAGACCCCATCTCCCAAATAACCAGAGCAAAATGGACTGGAGGTGTGGCTCAAGCAGTAGAACACTTGCTTTGCAAGTGCAAAGCCCTGAGTTCAAACCTTGGTCCACTAAAAAAAAAAAAAGCCAGCTGCCTGACATTTTGCAGCCTTGTAAAATGCAGTGAGCCAGTATATCCATCCTGGATTTATGATCTATAGATCTGTGAAGAAAAACATTTGTGGTGCATTAGTTCACTGAGTTTGTGGTCACTTGTGGTTTATTTTGGTGGTACTAGGAATGGGACCCAGGGCCTCACACCTGCCAGAAAAACAGTCTAACACTTGAGCTCTACTTCCAAACTTTTGAGATAAGTTCTAACTAACTCTCAGCTGGCAACAAACTCCCTATTCTCCTGTCTCTGCCTTGAGGGTAGCTGGGATTACAGGTGGCTTTAGTGGTCACTTGTTACCACACTCAGAAGAAAGTGACATGGGGACTAAGTGGACTCACAGGACTGGAAGGAAAGAGTTGGGGGCTGGGAGGTCAGACCCAGCTGGAGGTGACAGGTCTGGGGACTGAGTGGATGGATGGGGCTGGAGTTTGATCCATTAGGAAACACTGTCTGAATGAGAAAATGGAGTCTGTAGACATCAGGCTGGGAGGACTTATTGTAGCCTAGCTGACTGGAGCTTGGGGACAGATCCCAAAAGGAGAGAGTGCTGCTGAACTAACAGAATGGTTCAAGTGGTACAGCACCTGCGTAGCAAGCGTAAGGCCGAGTTCAAACCCTAACACTGACAAAAAAAAAAGAAAGTGTATAGATGTAAGAAAAACTTTATTTCCATATGAATACTGGGGTGTGTGTGTGTGGTGGCACAGGCGTGGGCTTCTGGTCCCTACCCCTATATCTGCTGAGAGGGTCTGAGGATGTACAGGAAGTGGGTCTTTCGGGCTGGCAACTTGGAGTGAGAGGAATCCTGGATCCCATCTTCGAGGGAGTCCTCTCGGAGCCTGTCACGGATGGCTTGCAGGCGGTGTCGCTTCTCGCTGAGCCACTGGCTGCCTTCCTGGGCATCCTGCTGGGACTTCCGACGTGGCAGCTTCATGATCCAGAAAGCTACCTGGGGATGAGTTTCTGGCTGGAAGCTGTCTATGGCCTTCCGGATGGGTCCCAGGGCTTCCTTCTCCTCTATCTTGGGTGCCTGGGGAAGAAGAACAAGGAAATCCTCCAACATTTGGCTTTGGGAGGCAAAGGTGGGAGGATTGTGGCCCAAGGCTGTCTGGGACAAAAGCTCCAGCCCTACTGAAAAACAGACTGAAAACAAAAGGACTGGTGGAGTGGCTCAAGTGGTAGAGCACCTGCCTAGCAAGCAAAAGGCCCTGGATTCAATTACCAACACTGAAAAAAAAAAAAAAAGCTGGCTTACACCTGTAATCTTAGTGACTCAGGAGGCAGATATCAGGAGGATCGAGGTTCGAAGCCAGCCAGCCTGGGGAAATAGTTCGTGAGACCCTATCACAAAAAAATTGGGCTGGTGCAGTGGCTCAAGGTAAAGGTCCTAAGTTCAAGCCCCAGTACCACAAAAAAAAAAAAAAAGTATTTAGATCATGAGGATGAATGTATCTATCATTCTTTGGAAATTCCATTCAATTATTTGGGCTGAAGTGTCATGATGTTAACAACTTACTGTCATAGGGTTTAGAAATAAAAAAGTAAAAACAGATAAAAATCTGGCAAAGTATTAGTCCAGAAGTTGTCAGGCAAAGCTTGGTTGTCACAACTAGTGGGGTGAGAGTGCTACTTCCAGCTAGTGGGTGAGAGGGCAGGGGCGCTGCCAAACATCTTACAGTGCACAGCCCCTCCCCCAACCAATGACTATCCAGCCGCAAATGCCAAGGGTGCTGAAGTTGACAGACTTTGGTCTATGGCACAGGGAATATATACAGGCATATTGATTATACTATATTAAAAAACTTTTCTGACTGGACATGGTAGCACACTTCTGTAATCCCAGCACTCAGGAGACGGAGGCAGGAAGACCATAAGTTCCAGATCATCTTGGGCTACATAGTGAGACCCTGCCTCAAAACCAAACAAAAAAAGCTCCAAGGGCTGGCAGAGTGGCTTGCCTGCCTAGCAAACATGAGGTCCTGAGTTCAAACCCTAATACCACCACAAAACAAAACAAAACAAAAACCACAATGAACAAACAAAAACAGAACAACAGAAAGCCCGCCTGTTTTGAAAATTTGAATTTTTTTCTTTTTTTGTTGAATTTTTTTCTTTTTTCAGTAATTGGCATACTTTTCACCCTATACATTTATCATGTATGTGTTGGGAACACTCAAAATGTCCTCTAGCAGTCATTTTGAAACATGTAATTAATTGTTGCAGTTTGATTTTTTTGGGGGGTGGGATTAGTTTGAGACAGTCTTGCTATGTAGCCCAGTCTAGCTTTCAATTTAGAACCTCCTGTGCTAGCATCCCTAGCTAGCACTAAGACTAGAGATGTAGGCCCTCAGACCTGATTTTTTTTTTTTTAGTTAAAAGGAAAAAAACAAAACAAACAAAAAAGTGCAAGGCCCTGAGTTCAAACCCCACTATAGCCAAAAAAGATTTAAAATGAAAAGAAAGAGTGTGTGCATGCATGTGCACTCATACATGTGCACTCATGAATGCCACTTGTCTAACCAAGTATGTTGTGATTCTTAAAACTTTTAGGGTTAGAGATCAGGACGATTGCGGTTCAAAGCCAGCTCCAGGCAAATAGTTTGAAAGGTCCTATCTCAAAAAACCCCATCACAAAAAAAGGATTGGTAAAGCAGTTCAAGTGGTAGATCACCTGCCTAGCAAGTATGAGGCCCTGAGTTTAAACCCAAGCACTACCAATAAGTACATTAATTAATTTAAAAAAACAGGGTTGTCGGGGCCGGTGGCTCATGCCTGTAATCCTAGCTACTCAGGAGGCAGAGATCAGGAGGATCATGGTTGAAAGCCAGCCCCAGGAAATAGTCTGTGAGACCCTAATCTCAAAAAACCCCAACACAAAAAAGGACTGGTGGAGTGGCTCAAGGTGTAGGCCTTGAGTTCAAGCCCCAGTACCACAAAAAAAGAAACAGAAAAAAAAAATACTGTGATATCTGCAAAAACACTTTGGGATTAGAATCACAGATAGAGGTTTATAATTGATGACCACACAAAGCATTTGGGGTTCTGGAAGCTCATTGGAATTAAAAATCACATTTTGAAGTTTATAAGTTGGAGGTTTACCAAATGCTTTGAATAGATTAAAAAATACTGAGGTTTGCAGAACACTTACTTTTTTCTTTCTTTTTTTTTTTTTTTTCTAGGCAGGATCTCACTAAGTAGCCCAGGCTGGCCTTGAATTTTTTGATCCTCTTGTCTCAGCCTCCTGAGTGCTGGGATCACAGGTGTATGCCACCATGCCTGGCTCAGAGCACTTACTTTGAATAAAAAAATACATTTTGAAGTTTATGAGGGTAACCTTTACGAAGTCCTTGCATTTAAAAGCCTTTCTTGGTTTCCAAACACTTTGGAACTCATAAAACCCTCTGGGGTTTACGAAACAGTTGGGGATGGATTCTGAGGTTATAAACCTTATTTCTAAGTTGGTCTGTCCCTTTTGACAAGTGCTAAAACTGACCAGAGAATGAGGAATTTTCAAGGAGAGGGAGAGAGGGAGAGAGGGGGAGAGAGAGAGAGAGAGAGAGAGAGAGAGGAGAGAGAGAGAGAGAGACTTTCTTCTAAACTACAGAAAAGGAAAAGGTTGGAATCTGGACACCTTGGGGGCAGGGCAGGTTCTAACCTTCCAGTCACCTTCCAGGCTCCCCTCTGGCTCGATGGAGGCCACTACCTTCTCAGAGATGAGCACCTCTCCTGTCTTGTTGTCAGTCATCTGTGAGGATGAGATGAGGAATGATAGGAAACCCGCTTTCCTCCTCTGCCCTCCTCCCTCCCCAAGAGATACTGCATAATGATGTATCATGCTGTGCCCAGAGACTGCGAGAAGGGAGTTCCTTGCAGACGCACCTTGTTGATCTGGAGGTGGCTGGAGAGGGTTTTATTCCCTAGCTGGCGCTCCTGGTTCTCCTCTTGGTGGAAGTTCCTGGGAAGGCCCCAGAAGTCCATGGGAGCAGAGAAGAAGTTGTCCAAACCCTGTAGCAGGTCATCCTAGTGTCAGAGTCGTGACCAGTGAGCTACTGAACCTCCTATCTCTCAACGGACCTACAGCTGTGTCTCAAATTCCTCCCATCCCCTTCCCTTTCTGTCCTCTTGTCCCCACCTGTCCTGTCTGCATTCTCTGCCCAGTGCCTTACTATTCCCGTCTCTGGACAGATGTCCAGTCGTTTCTCTGACCTCATCCATCTCCTCCTACCTCCCTCTATTTCGTCAGTCCCATCTCCCTCTCTTGTAGCTTGTTATTTTCCCTCTCTTCCTATTTAATGTCGCCTTGTCTCTCAGACTCCTCTTCTGTTTGTCCCTCTGCCTGGCTCTGACCTGTCTCTTACTGTCTCCTTGAAATCCCATCTCTTATTCCCATAAACCCTGCGGTCACTTACTTTCAGGAAAAATCGGCTGAAGCTTTGGAGGAGGCTCTGGAGGCCTAGAAACCCTGAGGGGCTCTCCTGGAACTCAGCATCACGGATAGGGGCCGCAGAACAGGAGGGCACCAGGGCGGAGGGGAACAGCAGCAGCAGGATCAGAGGACTCCACATTGCGGGGCGGGAGGGAGGCTATGGCAGGGGAAGGGGTCAGAGCCCCCCACCCGCCACAGCCACCTCCTCTTCTGCCCCCTGCCCAGGCAACTGCCCCCCCCACGTCCATTTCCCCCCCCCGCCCCCCCCCCCCCCCCCCCGCCCCATACCCTTTTGTTCTATTCCCTCCCCGTCCATGGTGCCTAAATACGTCCTCCTTCCAGCCTGGGTTTTTTGGATTCTGCCTCACACATGGATCTTATTCCTCCTTTGCCTAAGCCCCGCCCCTTCTTGTCAGCCCCGCCCTTTTGCTAGACCACAGCGCGGTCACCTGGCTCCCAGACTTCAGCGGTCCACGGACTGTTAAAATCCAAACTGTTCTGGCCTCGAGCCCAGGCGGAATACCTGGTGCGTTGGATGCGCTCCGCGAGACCTAGTCACGCCCCCATTGTCTGACCACGCCCCCACAGGCTGACCTCACGCCTTGGTCACGTCTCTGCGGACAATGCCACGCCTCCATTCTTCGTTAGCCACACCCCTTAAGATAGAACCATCCCTAACCTAGGCCACGCCCCTATCATAGGACCACGCCCCTTTCGGTTGGCCTGGAGACCTCAGTCCTCAGTGTTCTCAGATTCTGGCCCTCCTATCCGAGTCTAGCTCCAAAACTGCAGATGGCCACGCCCCTTAGATTAGAGCCACGCCCTGAAACTAGGCCACGCCCACACGCTCTTGCGCCCGGCCCCGCACCCCGCCCCATCTCTGTTTCATTCCCAGCTTCCTTCCCTATGCTTGGGAAAGGCATGTGTCTGAGCATACTTTCTAGTTCATTGATAGTTCAGTTTTTTTGTTTTTTTTTTGGCGGTACTGGAGTTTGAATTCAGAACTTCGCACTTGCTCGGCCGGCTCCTTACCGCTTGAGCCAGGCCTTTCTCAACGACTCTCTTCCTTTTCCCACTTCGTTTCCACTTAAAAAGCCTTACTTTCTTTGGAACCTCTAACTCCAGTCCTATATTCCATCTTTTAAGAAACCCCAAATCTAGGCTTCTTATCGTTCAGGTCCCTGGAGTACAGTACCAGGCCCTGTCTTGACTTGTGAGTTTGAATACACAGCGCCCCCCTCCCCTTTTTTTTATGACAGAGTCTCTACCTCCAAAGTGTTGGGATTACACACCTAGTTTGTTCATTATTCTTAACCCTGGTAGGGATACAAGAAAGCTAAGTTGTCATAGGAATTGATCAAAACCCATTCAAATACCCTAATCTTGAAAAAGTGCTTGGAGATATCAGTAAAGATTCTTTTGTGTCTCTATCACTTCCAGAACCTCAACACACAAACACCCTAGGAGGGTAGTTCAGGCCCCATTCTCTCCTTCAGACTCAGGACTCTAGGGCCCCACTACTCCCCCTCTCAGACCCAAGGCTCCAGGCCCCAACCCTCCTCCCTCAGACCCAGGGGTCCAGACCCTAGCCTTTCTCCCTCAGACCCAGGGGTCCAGGCCCCAGCCTTCCTCCCTCAGAGCGAGGGATTCAGGCCCCAGTACTTCCCCATCAGCCCCAGGGGTCCAGGCCCCAGTCCTCCTCCATCAGATCGGGGTGTCTGAACCCCTAGCCCCGCTTCTCTCGTAGGGACCTAAGCACCGGAATTCCAATTTCCTCCCAGCCCCTAGTAGATTTCATCTCTCTCAAAGCAAAAATCCTCCCCCAAACTGTCACCGTCGGATCCCCTTCCCGCTGGCGGCCTCCCGGGCCCGCCCCCCCCTCCGGTCCCTCCCACTTTTCCCAAACAAAGCTCCCGGCAACTTTCTCCCTCGCAGCGCCCCGCCCGCCCGTGGCTCCCCAGCCCCAGGCCGGGAGGTAGGAAGGCGCCGGCGGGAGTCGGGATCCTGCTTTGGGGTGTGTGAGTTGGGGTGGGAAGTTACGCGTGATGAGGTGAGGCGTGTGTTGGGGGGACCGTGTCGGAATCGTTCGCTTCCCTCTTTTTTGCCTGGGGACCCGAGTTTGCGCTCGTGACCGAGCCCAAGTGTGGAGTTGGAACTTTTGCCGGAGTTAGGGTGGTGGTGATGGGTCTGAGTCTGGAGTGTGCGCGCGGGAGCGGTGCGGGCTTTGGACCCGGACGGGGGTGCGAGTGCGGTGTCCCTCTGTCGTGAGAAAGACCCGGTGTGTGTTCCTGATCCAACTGTTGTGCGTGCGTGCTCTGGCCCCCTTATGGAGAAGAAAGCACCCCCCCACCCCAGGTGGCTAGAGGGAGGGCTGTGGTGTGTCCTGGATCTTCATTCTTGGCTCTTTAGAGGTTTGGGGCCTGGGGCGGGAAATCAGGGGTTATCCTTCTTACCCGGCTCCTCCGTCCCTTTGTCTGGCCACATGGGGGGGGAGGGCTGGGTTCAGATTTTGGCCTACCCGGGTCCTGCATGCCGCAGCGCCACTGGGCTCTGCCTGGGGTCTTTGTCTGCCTCCGCCCCGGGTCGAGGTTCCGAGGGAGGTGTGTGTTGGGGGGTGGGACTCTGGACTCTGGAGTCCTGGGAAAACTGTGAAAGACCTGGAGCCTCCAGGGAGGCGGGATCGGACTGTACTGGAAAAAGTTTTCCCTGTTCCCGGCCTCCGGAAAGTCACTGGGAACTTGGGTTGGATCTGAGCCCACCGCGCCGGGGGAGGGGAAGGGGCGGGGCCGAGGGCCCGAGGGGAGGCTCCCTTGCCGGTCAGCCCCTCCCCTGATGGGGGTTGTGGGAAGCTGGGGGAGGGGACTCTTGGGCCCTTTGTTCTGGCCCTCCAGATGGCAGGGCGCGTATGTCCCCCCGCCTGTGGTTCTGTGGGTGTCCTTGCCCTCCAGCCTGTGGTTCTGTGACTCTTTCCTGGTCTCGGCATCAATTTTAACCTTGAGTCTGTTCCTGTTTCATTGGGGGTCTCATGGGGGGGGTCTCTCTCCCTCTCTGCGACCTCCTCCCCCTCTCTCTGGATGTCTATCTCTCTTCTGGGCTTCAGCGCCCCTGCCTATGGGTCACTGTCCCCCTCCCTCTGGCCTCTGATCTCTCTCTGGGTCTCTGTCTCCCTGTCTCTGGATCTCTGATCTCTTTCTGGCTCTCTGTCCGCCTCTCTCTGGGTCTCCCTCAGCTTGTCTTGGGCTTCTGCCCCTCCTTTTCTAGCAGCTGCCGCTCCCATCCCAGCACCTGTTCTTGGGGTGGGACTGGAAGGTTTCACCCACACTCTCCCACAACTAACCCGACTGGTCTTTTTTAAATCTAGTAATCCATACCCAGAGTTACAGCCCACAGGCCTACTCATTGCTCTTGTGTGCTCTTCTGGAAACTAGGGGGAGAAGAGCTCCCTAAACTACCCCAGAAACCCAGTCACTTTTTCTTCTAGGACCTAGGGGTCCATGCCCCAGTCCTCTTCTCTCAAACCCAGTGGATCAATCTACAGCCTTCCTCCCTCAGACCCAGTGGTTCAGACCCCAGCCTTCCTCCCTCAGACCCAGGGGTCCAGGCCCAGCCCTCCTCCATCTGACCCAGGAGTTCAGACCCCAGACCTTCTTCCTCAGACCCAGGGATCCAGGCCCCTGTCCTTCTCCCTCTGGTCCAGGAGTCCTGGCCCCACTCCTCCTCCCTCAGACCCAGGGGTCCAAGCCTCAGCCTCCTCACTCAGACCTAGGGGTCCAGACCCCAGCCTCCTTCCTCAGACCCAGGGGTCCTGGCCCCAGCCCTCCTCCCTCAGACCCAGGAGTTCAAACCCCAGACCTTCTCCTTCAGACCCAAGAGTCCAGGCCCCTGTCCTCCTCCCTCGGGTCCAGGAGTCCTGGCCCCAGCCCTCTTCCCTCAGACCTAGGGGTCCAGGCCCCAGCCTCTTCCTGCAGACCTGGGATCCACCACTGTCTTTGTAGCTTTAAGTCCCTCAGGTAGATGGGAGGATCTTTCTGAGCTCTGTGTCCTTCCAGGCCCAGATGGGGGAACCCCGAGCTGGGGCCCCCCTGGATGATGGCAGCGGCTGGACGGGCAGTGAGGAAGGCAGTGAGGAGGGCACTGGTGGCAGCGAGGGGGCTGGGGGAGACGGGGGCCCAGATGCTGAGGGTGTCTGGAGCCCAGATATTGAGCAGAGCTTCCAGGAGGCCCTGGCCATCTACCCTCCCTGTGGTCGTCGGAAGATCATCCTGTCTGACGAGGGCAAGATGTATGGTGAGTTGGCCCCTCTTTCACCCTGACCCCACTGAGTAATAAAAACCAGTGTGGAGTTCTAAGTGCTGTGTAAAGATGCATTGTGTCCTCCTTCTTTAAGACCTCTGGGATAGGACCTAACATCACCATTTGCATATGTGAGGAAACTGAGTCACAGAAAAGTTAAATGCTAGTGCTTGTTTGTGGCAGAGCTGGGGTTTGCTCCTAGGTAGTCTGGCTGAGGGGACAGGCAAGCCAGCTTGCTGTAGCCCTTTGGGTCTGTTGGTGTTTCCTTCTTCCTTGGTGTCTCCTTGTTCCTTGGTGTCTGTCTGCGGGGAAGTTCTGTTGACAGTCTAACCCTCTTCCATTTTGACTCTCCAGGTCGGAATGAACTGATTGCCCGATACATCAAGCTGAGAACAGGGAAGACCCGGACTCGAAAACAGGTCTCAGGATTGACTTACAGGCTTCTGGGTGGATTCATCTCTTTAGGGCCATTCTCATGTGGGCTACTTCAGGTTCAAGGACTATTTGGTTCATGTGTTTTTGCTCCTCTTCTTGGTATATTGGTAGCCTGATCTAATTGCCTGTTTGGGGATAGTTTCCCTAGCAGTTTGTGTTAGGAACAAAGAGTTGGACCAAAAGAACCAAAGAGAGAAGCATGAAGAGCCAGGTGTGGCAGTGCACGCCTGTAATCCCAGCATTACAGACTGAGGCAACAGTATCAAAAGTTACAGGCCACCAGCTTGGGCTACATATTGAAGCCCTGTCTAAGGAAAAAAAAAAAGGGCGGGGATTAGCAGGAGGCCTGGGTCTGCAAATATCAGGTATGAGTTCCTGGGGAGAACAGCTTTTGTGGGCACAACTGTGCCTGCCTGCTGCAGAGGCAGCCTGTGCATTCTGTGCATTTGTGATATTTTGTGTTCTGGTGGCTGGTGGGGCACTTGGAGGAAGGTAAGAGGTGGTGGACACAGGGACAGGTGTGGCCTCAATCTGCTCCATCCATCCCTCCAGGTTTCTAGTCACATCCAGGTTTTGGCTCGAAGGAAATCAAGGGAAATCCAGTCCAAGCTGAAGGTAAGGACCAAGGCAGACACCTAGAGAGAGAAGGACAGAGACCCAGAGAAACAGAGAGAGAGAGACGTAGAGACTCAGAGATAGAGGGGCGACAAAGACCTAGAGAAAGGAAGAGAGAGACAGAGTTAGAGACTTGGAGGGGGGCGGAGAGAGAGAAAAAAAAAAGAGAGAGAGAGAAATCCAGACAGAGAGGAAGACAAGAGAATCAGAGATAGAGGACACACACACACACACACACACACACACACACACACACACACCCCTGGGGGAGGCGGGACAGACTAAATAAGGGAGGGGGACAGAGTACCAGGCAGTGGGGCAGGGCTGAGGCCCTGGAAGGCAGAGGCCTGAAGAAGGGATGGAGGCCTGGCTGAGGACAGGTAAGGATGGGGTGTCAGGCTCCTTCTTTGACTGCTGTAGTCATCCCCCTCCCATCCCTTCTTCCTGCCCCTTGCCGATGGCCTCTGGACCATTTCTTTTTCCTTCTTCTGTGAGGACTCCCTTTTCAGCTCCTGGGTTATCTTCATGCTTCGCTGCCTGCCGTGGGCCTGCCTACTCTTTTTGTGCCCTGAAAGCTTCATATCCTGTTGGAAATTATCACATCCACTTTCTTCATCGTCTGAATTTCCTACTCCGCTCTGGCCTGAGACCCTTATTTTCTTCTCCTCTGGGTGTGAAATCTTTTCTGCCTCTTCTTTTGCACTTGGGACCACTCACTTCCTGCAATTTATTTTTTAATCTTTTTTTTGTGCCCGGAAGTCTTTCCTTCCTTTCTCTCCTGGTCTACAAATCTTCACTTCCCGTCTTTTCTGAACCCTTGTTCCCTCTCTGTTCTGTCTAGATTAGGAAACATTCACCTCCAATTCCCCCAGGGCCTGAAACTCTCATTTCCTGTCGCCTGGGCATCCGGAAACCTCTACTTCCGGCTCTTTCTTGACCTGCAAACCTCATTACTGCCTTTTATTTTGGGTTAGAAACCCCTTTACCCCTCTATGGCTGGCCACCGCTGCTTCCTGCACCATACACGTTCATCCTTGGCTCCCCATTAGCCCCCTTGCTTAGCTCAGGGTGGTGGGGTATGTGGGCTGGTAGGGTAGGGAGGAGGGAATCCAGGGCTCACCCCCTGAGTCATGTTTTCTTTCCTCCTTTGGTACCTTCCCCCACCCTCTCGGCCAGGCCCTGAATGTGGTAAGTCCCCCTGCCCATCCTCCCACCCATTCTGCCCCACAATTGTCCCAGCCCTAAGACCAGCAGGGGCAGACAGAGTGCTCTAGGAAGAGGGACTTTGATCCTTCTTGACCCTTTCCCTTGACTCCCCAAGTCTACATTTCCCCATCCTTGCCCTGCCCCCCCATTGTCCCACCCTTGCTATGTTGACTGGGACTCCCCATTAACACGGACCCCAACCTTTCCCCCAGGACCAGGTTTCCAAGGATAAGACTTTCCAGACGATGGCAACCATGTCCTCTGCACAGCTCATCTCGGCACCTTCCCTGCAGGCCAAACTGGGTCCTTCTGGCCCTCAGGTGGCCTGGGTTGGGGACTGTGGGGGGTTGGGGCTGGAGGAATGAGCTGAAATGGACAATGGGCAGACCAACTGATCCCTCTTCTTTGTCTCCTCTGTAGGCCACTGAGCTTTTCCAGTTTTGGTCAGGGGGCTCTGGGCCACCCTGGAATGTTCCAGAGTGAGTAATTTGTGTCCTGACTTCCCCTGTCCATCTCCCCATGTTTTCTACCCCATCTGCCATCTTGCAGTCTGCTTTTGGTTCCAGTTTCTAGAGTCAGGCTATCTGGTCTTGAATCCTAGCACTGTTTGGAAAGGTGACATCAGTGCTCATCTTTGAAATGGGGGTAATACGAGTGCCTTTCTCATGATGTTTTTGGAGTAATTGAGTTTAACATGTGTACCATGATTAGGAAAGGACCTGGCACATGGCAGTGCTCAGGACTAGATCTGAGCTGGGGTAGTGAGGAAGGGACAGGGACAGGGAAGGAAGGAGCAGGCAAGTGCTTGGGGTCTTGCTGGTGACTTGAGTTGGTGGGGTCCTCTGGAGCTGTGCAGCCAGGGGAAGGAGTGGGTTTGGGGATAAAATGAGGTCAACATGGAACTTGGTGAGTAGAAGGAGCACCTCAGAAGCCCATGGGAGGAGCAAAGGGGAGTCCCAGGGGCTCATGGGAAGGTAGCTGTAGGTTCAGAGTCTCATGGGAGGAACGAGGGGGAATCCCAGAGGCTCAGAGAAAGGCTCATTTTCATCCCACTGAGGTGTTTCTTGGGTTTGAGAGTTGAGCAGGAGTTATTATTTTCTCTCAGAGGTACATGGGAGTATTCTCAGTTTTGAGAGAGCCTTGAGGGTGACAGGATGTGTTTCTAGGGCTGGAGGTATGGCTCAAGTAGCACAGTGCTTGCCTAGCAACCACGAGGCCTTCAGTTCAAACCCCATTATTGCCCAAACAAATCCAGGATGTATTTCTAGTCTAAATGCATAGAAATGGGTCCTAGAGGCTCATGGGAAGTAAGAGTTTTCAGTCCAGATGGGAGCCAGTGGACATAGGCAGAGTGACTGCAGGGTGGTGAGGTAGGAGTGCCAAGGTTATTGCCAGAGAAAAGGTGAGGTGATAGGCTGTGGAATCCAGACTGGGAGAGAAAGGAGTCATTGGGGACCCAGGGAAAGGTCAGAACAAGTCCCCAGTGGCTGCAGTAGCTGCAGGCTGAGCTTTCAGGAGGGCAGTTGGGTAGGTTGTACACTGACCGCTGGGCTCCCAACTTTGCTGGCGCCCATGGTGCAATGGGAGAGGTGAATGTAGGTTAGACCACCACCTTTGTGAACATAAAATTGAAGTGTTGTGAACCACAACATGTTTTAGATGGGCAAAAATGTTCTGGAGGTTTCTTTGAAGGAGAGAATCTTGATGGCTGAGTAAAACTTAGCCTGGTGAAGGATGGTGGTAGGAATATTTTAGGCAGAAACACAGCACTTTATGACTCTGAGGCAGGAAAGTTTGGTGCATTGGAGGAAATGAGAGAAGGCCAGTTTAAGTCACTGGTCAGTGATATTTTTACTGAACACCTTTGAAGTGTTGGGTACTGTAATCAGGGAACAAGGCTGACAGAATCCACGGAGCTGTATATACCTGGGGACAGGAGACAATTGTAAACATGTAAACAAATAAGAATTATTAAGAAAAGAATAGATTCTGAGAATGAAAGCACAGTGTATGAGCTCTATGTTATTTCACTTAGCAAACACGAGACCCTGAGTTCAAATCCTACTACTGCCCCCCAAAATTAAAATTAAACAAAATTAAAAATTCAGTTCCTCAGGCCTTCTAGCCACATTACTGCTCCATGTGGCCAGTGGCACAGCCTGAATGTGGAACATTGTTATCAAACAGAAAGTTCTATTGACAGCACCATCTCCTCACTCTGACCTTTGGCCTGATGACTGATCGCTTTCTTCACCCTCCCCAGACTTTTCTCCAAGTTCCCATCTTCTGTGACTTATTTCTACCTCCCAAAACTTCCTTCCTTCCTTCTTTCCTTCCCTCCCTCCTTCCTCCCTCCCTCCTTCCTTCCTTCCTTCCCTCCTTCCTCCCTTCCTTCCTTTTACTTTTCTATTTTTTTCTCAAGATCTGCTGTCTCTTCTCAGTCTGTCCTTTTGTGAGAGGCACCAAAAACCCACCATCTAGAGCGTGGGTTTCATGATTGGTACTGACCTGGGTTTGAGTTCAGATTCCACTGCATGACAGTGTGTGACTTTAGGCCAGTCAGTTGACTTCTCTGGGTCTCAGTTTCTTCATTTGTAAAGTGAGAAGAGCAGTAAGCTCCCTTACTCAGCTGTGTGACTTCAATGGGATGGTGCAGGTGTTGTGCTAGCACAGGTCCAGCTGATCTTGGTCAATGTTAGCTGGTACGATTAACACGGCTCCCTGACCCTGGCTTCCTTTCTCCCTTAGTGTAAAGCCATTCTCACAGACGCCATTCTCCTTGTCACTGACTCCCCCATCTACTGATCTACCAGGTAAGAGCATGTTACCTCTCTTCCTTTCCCCACCCACCGCACCCCAATAGCCTTTTGTTCTACCTTCCATTAATCTGGGAACACGTTCTTACAGAGACAGGGTGTGTCCAGGGGTGGGGTGTGTGTATGGAAAAGTGGTGTCACAAAATTGGTTGTGATTTAGAGCATGGTTTTTCTGCAGCCAGACACCCTGGGCTAGTGTTCTGCCACTTGCTAGCTTGTGAGACATTGGGGAAGTGAATTAATGAGGATTTTTTCAGCTGCAAGTGATGGAAACCCAAAGCCAGCTAGCTAAAACAAAGAGACAGGGCTAGGGGCGAGGCTGAAGTGGTATACTGAGGCCCAAGAAGAACTTACTGGTTCAAGTAAGTGATAGTTCAGAATATATGACTTCAGGCATGGCTGGATCCAGGGGATCAGATGGTAGCACCAGGGCTTGCTTCCTTCTGCTTTTCTTCTGGGTGACTTCATTCCCAGGCAGACTGCTGACCTGGCAGCCAAGATGGCTTCCAGACGTCCATGCTGATGTGACCCTGAGCACTCACGTTGATTGGTGAGAGAGAAAGTCCCTAGCTCCTTCAGGTTCCACAGATCCTTCAAGTAGGAGTATCTTTGGCTGCTAGGAACAGAATACCCAAATTCATAGTACCTTAAATATGAAAGGCATTAATGAGTCTATATCACACAAAATGTAGAGGTAGGCTGCTCTTGTGCTGGCTCACCAGCCCAGGAATATCAACACTGACATCTATTGTTCCCTTGGCTTCTGTCTTATTGTGCCAAGACGGCTGCTGTGACTCCAGGCATCACATCCCAGGCAGGACTTGGCCAGGTCCAAAAGCTTTCTCCTCCCAAAGTTCTGTCTTTTTCATTCAGGAAGAAACTCCTTTCCAGAAGCCCCCCAGCAGATTCCCCCTAACGTCTCATTGGCCAGGACTGTGTCACATGGCCACCTCTAGCTGCAAGGGAGGCTGGGAAAGTGAGTATTTAGCTTTTTCAGCTTCTAAGTGGAGGTAGGCAAGAGAGAACAGTGCCTGATTTAGTCAATAAATCCTAGCATCTTTTATTGTTCTTTCTTCTCTCTCTAGGGTACGAGCCCCCCCAAGCCCTCTCACCCCTGCCCCCGCCTGCCCCATCACCCCCAGCTTGGCAGACTCGGGCCCTGGGCACTGCCCGTTTGCAGCTGGTGGAATTCTCAGCGTTTGTGGAACCACCGGATGCAGTTGACTCTGTGAGTGAAAGTTTGGAGTAGTCATTGGGTGATTTTGGAATATAGACAGAGAAGGGAGGGAAGGCATAGAACAGTGATCCACAAGTATTGGAATTACCTGGAATGCTTCTTCACACAGAGCCTGCTGGGCCCCTTATGCAGAATTTTTAATGTACTCCCAATGGGAACTTGAGAAATTGCATTTCTAACAAGCTCTGAAGCTTTGAAAACCACTAGCATATAAGAACTGGAAGGTCATGAGTTGGGAAGGACAGAGAAACTTCCCAGGATACATTCGTTTATTTTCATCAAACATCTTTGAGTTTTCAATACACTTTGCGATACACACTAGGAACAGGGAAAAGGAGATCTTATTTCTGGGCTTGAGCTAGGATGGACACAGACACTGTATCAGTTGGGTGTGCTAACTTTTAGAAAAAAACAACTACCAGCTCTCAGGGACTGAACAACATAGATATTACTCATGTAACAGCAATTCCCAGATCTTGGTTCCTTCCATTTTGTGGCGCTGCCATTTTCTAGGGCTTCTTTGCTGCTGAATTCTCTGCATCTGGCCAGCAGATGCAGGAAGGGGAGAGAGGCAAAATTGTGCAGGTTTTATGATCTCCCTTGGATGTGGCAACTTTCAGGTCTGCTTGCATCCCATTGGCTAGAATGTAGTCATGTGGGCACATGAAACTGCAAAGGGTCCTGGGAAATGTAGTTTCATGCTGCATAAAGGAACTGGTTTTTGAATACATAGTCTGCTATGCCACACGAACACCAGTCAAGTTACTGATCACTATAAATGGTGATCCTGGTACAACTCATGTTGGATTAGGCTTAAACCTTCCCATCCCACTTGAAGCAAAAATGAAAGTTGTTGCCCACAGAGATCTGAGCAATCTGATTCTCATTTCTGCTCTGCCTTTACCTCGTGCCCTTGCACCCTGACTCATTCTGCTCTAGGCACATTGACTTCCCTGATCTTTCTTAGACATTCCAGGCTCTCTCCTGCCTCAGGGCCTTTCCACCTGCCTTTTTTTTTTTCAGTACTGGGGCTGGAACTCGGGACCTTCACTTTGAGCCATTCCACCAGCCCTTTTTTTGTGATGGGTTTTTTCAAGATAGGGTCTTGTGGAACTATTTGCCCCAGCAAAGGCTTTGAACCTTGATCCTCCTGATCTCTGCCTCCTGAGTAGCTAGGATTTTAGGCGTGAGCCACTGGTGCCTGGCTGCACCTGACATTCTTGCTACCTGGAATGCGCCTGCCTCAGATTGTTCATCCTGTGACTCATCTCCTTTCTTTCAGGTGTTTACTCAATTTCTAACTCTTGTTTTTGAGACAGGGTCTCACTATGTAGCTCGGGCTAGCCTGGAACTAGCACTCTTCCTGCCTTAACCTCCCAAGTGCTGGAATTACAAGTGTGTGCCACCATACCTGACTTATTCTTTTTCATAGCATACATCACTCCTGAAATTTATATTGTTTTCTTTCTCTACCAGTAGACTGTACTCCATGAGGTCAGAGACTTTGTCTTTTGCTTGCGCACAGAGGGCCCCTGATGCTTGTTTTCTGGGATAGGTTGAGCTCATTTTTTGTGGATTTTCAGAAGAAAACATCCTCCTGGAGAGTCAGTGAAAGCCTCCTCAACATGGTGATATTTGAGTTGGGCCATTGAGGGTTATGTAGGAGTTTTCCAGCTGAAGAATTGCATATTCCAGGCTTAGGGATGGGCAGAGTGTGGAATTTTCAGGAAAACAAAGAATAGAATATGGTGGGGGCAGGTGAGGCTGCAGAGGTGGGCAGTGCTGGTTTTGAGGAGCTGGCACTGGCAAGTTGAGGGACCCAGACTTTTTCTAGAGGATGACTGGGGAATCATGGAAAGGGTGGGGGTAGAGAGATCCTGTCTAGTTGTAATCAAGGGAGGCTTCCAGGAAGAGGCAGACTTGGATGAACTTGGGCCTAGAAAGATGAAGAGATGATTTGTATTGGAGGAGAAGATAGGGAGGATGTTCAGGATATGGAAGAAGTTAAGAAAGTCATAAGAAGTTGGGCACGGTGGTGCACACATTTAATCCAACTACTTGGGAGGTAGAGGCAGGAGGATCAGGAGTTTGAGGCCAGCAAAATCCATTAAGACAAAGCAATAATAGGAATCATGAAAATGGGACAGATAGGGAGTCTTGGATGTGGGCTGGGTGGATTCCTGTGCATGCATGTGTGCCTCCATCCATCCATCCATCCATCCAACATTATGAGTACCAGTTCTGTACAGAGCCAGCTTGGGGGGGTGTGGGCTTTGTCCTGGGGAGCCATGGGAGGACCGTGAGCAGGAGAGGACCAGCATCAGTCCTGGAGCCCATGCCAGGACTGGAGAGGAGAGGTTGGAGGCTGGGACACAGGTGGAGAGAATGAGGTCTGGACTGAGGCTGGAACAGTGCAGACAGAGAAGAGATGGTAGAAAGTCAGACACAAAGGGATTGGAACTGCCTGTGGTCTGTCCCAGCACGGGCAGCCGTGTGGAATACCCAGCAGTGGGTTCATGTGGTGAGGGCTGGGGTGGGGAAGCAGCCTGCCCTGCACTCCTCACCCATGTTTGGCCTCCTCAGTACCAGAGGCACCTGTTTGTACACATCAGCCAGCACTGTCCCAGCCCTGGAGCGCCGCCCCTGGAGAGCGTGGATGTCCGGCAGATCTATGACAAATTCCCTGAGAAAAAGGGCGGTCTTCGGGAGTTGTATGACCGGGGGCCCCCCCACGCCTTTTTCCTGGTCAAGTTCTGGGTAAGTTCTGGCAGCAAACTGAAAGTGCCTGTAAGTCACGTGTCCTAGCTAGGCCTCTGACTGTAAGCAAGCCACCAGGTGGGCCCAGGCCTTAGGGGACAGACTCTGGGAGCATTAACTCCTTTGCAAGAAGGGACACCAGGGAGTCCTCCAGAGTGGGATGGAGGCACTTGGACCTCCTTAGATCACACTAGACCTTGCCACACCCAGTCACGTAACTAATATGGTTGTGGGATTGGCTTGCCTCACTTCAGGTGTCCCCAAGGTCCCACCTGATTACACCAAGCCTTGTTGCTAAGGAACAACTTCAATCCCTTAGCCAATGGAGGCATGGAAGGTTCTGGTCTCTAAAGAGAGGATTGAGGATTGCCAGTTGCTTCCAGACCCTGTGCCTAGAGAATGGCCCTTAGGAAGCAATCGAAGGAGTTGGGGAGTGCTTTGTAAAGTCCTCTAGTTAATATTAATTTATTGAGCATTTGCTATATACAGCCCTGTATCAGGTGCTAGGACAGATGGGGCTTGGTCCAATAGACCCTTGGTATCGGCGGGCCTATGGCTTGGAGGAGACCACCGTGGAGGAAAAACAGCGCATGCTCCAGATGCACAGCGGGCAGCCCAGTACTGCGCATGCTCGGTTTATTTTTCCCATAACCCCGCCCAACTTCCTCTAAAGACGTGCTGCCTTTCAACAAATCTAAAAATTGCACTTTATCAGTACAGTTAAGCACATTCATTTTTACCTTGCGTTTTGAACATCATTTGAGCTTTTGTGTGTGTATGTGGGGGGGGGGCTTGGGTTTGAACTCAGGGCTTCGCGTTTGCAAAGCAGGCGCTGTACAGCTTAAGCCACACCTCCAGTCCATTTTGCTCTGGTTGTTTTGAAGATGGGGTCTCAAGAAGTATTTGGTGAGGCTGACCTCAACTGTAATACTCCCAATCTCAGCCTCCCAAGTAGTTAGGATTACAGGTGTGAGCCACCGGCACCCAGCTATCATTTGCTTTTGGGAAGGCAGATTTTCACAAAATTAAGAGAAATTACAGGTCATACAACAATTTAAACACAACTGAAAATAACCTGAAGTGACTCAGTGCATCTCTGGATTAGGTAAGCTGTATAATGGATATATAGGAAATTTAACTTATGTTTTTGAAATATTTTTTAGCATTACTGGGGTTTGAACTCAGGCCCTTGCACTTGCCAGGCAGGTGCTCTACTACTTGAGCCACGCACCCCCTAGTCCCATCTTGGATTTTTCTTAGGTCCATTTAGTTTGGTTTCCTATATAACACCATTCGGGCTCAATAAATGCTGAATGAATGTTTAGGCTTAACTCCTGTGTGGTGTTAAAGCACCACAAAAATAATTAAAGAAAATGCTGGGCATGGTGGCTCATACTTGTAATCCTAGCTACTCAAGAGCTGGAGATCTGAGATCCAGAAGATCTCAGCTCAACACCAGCCTGGCTTAAGTACTAGAGTGCCTGCCCAGCTGCTCAAGGCCCTGAGTTCAAACCCCAGTATTCTGGGAGAGGCTAGCCCAGGCAGGGAGTTTACAAGACCCTCATCTCAACCTATAGCTGGGTGTGGTGGCAAGTACCTGTCATCCCAGCTGTGTGGAAAGCTGAGATCAGGAGGATCAAGGTTCCAGATTAGCCCAGGCAAAAATCTTTGAGAGACCTCATCTCAACAGAAAAAGCTGGGCCTTGTGGTAAGCACCTGTCATCTTAGCTATGACAGGAAGCATAAGATAGGAGGGTAATGGTCCTAGGCCATGGGGCAAAAAATGAGACCTTATCTCAAAATTAATGAGAGCAAAAAGGGCTGGAGGCATGGCTCAAGTGATAGAGCACCTGCCTAGCAAACATTAAGCACTGAGTTCAAGCCCCAGTATGGCAAAATAAATAAATACATATGTAGATATAAATATGTGCATACATACACACATATGAAAGCTTTCTGTGTGAAGTGGAGGCCTGAGATGGCTCGGGACATATGCTGCTGAGGTCTTAGGCACTTTTAGGACTTAAGACAGCCCCCACCAGCTCCCAGATCTGAATCTCAGCTTCTGGGGGATTAGGGGGAGGGGGTGGCCTTGGCTGTTTTTTTTTTTTTTTTTCTCAGTTACTGGGGATTGAACCTAGGGCCTTACACTTGCTAGGCAAGCACTCTATCACTTCAACCATGTCCCTAGCCCCACCTCTTTTTTCTTGAGACAGTCTTGCTATGTAGTATAGGATGGCTTCAAAGTCATGATTTTTGCTTCCCCCCTCCTGAGTGCTGGGATTACAGATATGTACCATCACACCTGCCCAGCAAGAGGTGGTTACTGTGGAAGCTGAGAAAGAGGGGTGGGCTCTGGGGCAGTATTTATAGGGTCTCCTCCAACTCACCTGTGCCTACTCATCTCTCAGGCGGACCTGAACTGGGGCCCAAGTGGTGAGGAGGCTGGGGCCAGCGGTGGCAGCAGCGGAAGTGGTGGCTTCTATGGAGTAAGCAGCCAGTACGAGAGCCTGGAGCACATGACCCTCACCTGCTCCTCCAAGGTCTGCTCCTTTGGCAAGCAGGTGGTGGAGAAGGTGGAGGTGAGGCTGGAGGGTTGGGCTTGGGGCTGGTGAGTGCCAAAGTGCTGCCCTCTGGGGGTGCCACATGGAGCAGGAACCATGCTGATGCTGGCATTTAAGGGACGTAGTTTGAGGTGGAAGAGGGGGAGTACAGACTCTCTGGGGGTTTCATGCGTGAGCCTTGGGCCAATATGGAGTTCAGAAGTTACAGATGGGGATCATTTTGTGGGTTGAAAGGAGCAGGGGTTTACTCACTAAATGCAAAAGGCTCTTCTGGAGATGGAGGAGTTTGCAGGCAAGAATGATCATAAGTCAGGAAGGATTAGAGCCGGGTGCTGGTGGCTCACACCTGTAATCCCGGCTACTTGGGAAGCTGACATTGAGAGGATTGAGATTCAAGCCCAGCCTGGGCAAATAGTTCATGAGACGACCTCATCTCCAAAATAACCACAGCGAAATGGACTGGAGGTGTGGCTTTGTAAACAGGAAGCTCTGAGTTCAAACCTCAGTCCTCTCTCCCTCCCCTGCCCCACAAAGTCATATTTAGGAGTTACTGGGAACTTGGGGGTTTAAAATACAGTTTGGAGATGCCATGGAGGGGTCTTTAGGAATCTTTTTTTTTGTTTGTTTGTTTTATGATCACATGCTAAGCGAGGTCTCTATCACTTGAGCCACACTTCCAGCCCTTTAGTTATTTTTCAGATAGGGTCTTGCATTTATGCCAGGGCTGGTCTGGACCACAATCCTACCTGTGCCTCTAGTAGCTGAGCTCACAGATGTGTACCACCATACCCAGCTTGTTGGTTGAGATGGGTTCTTCCTTTTGGCCCAGGCTGGCCTTGAATTTGAGATTCTCTTACCTATACCTTCCCTAGTAGCTGGAATTATAGACATGTATCACCATGCCAGGCCAAAACATCTCTTTGTAGGTTGCTGTCCTTGGAGTGCAGGAAGGACATTGAAGTGAGTGTGGCATCTGAGATGCTTGGCGGGGGTGCTTCATGATCTCAGTAACTGTATTCTGCACTCCCTAATCCCCTTCCTACTTTAGACGGAGCGGGCCCAGCTGGAGGATGGGCGGTTCGTGTACCGCCTGCTGCGCTCACCTATGTGTGAGTACCTGGTGAATTTTTTGCATAAGCTGCGACAGCTGCCTGAGAGGTACATGATGAACAGTGTCCTGGAGAACTTCACCATCCTCCAGGTGATGCCTGGGCTGGGGCCAGACAGGAATGGGTGGTAGAGCCTGACTTAGAGAGGGAACTGTTCTTGGCACCCTTTCAGCAGGGGGCGCCTTCAACCAGGGGACACTCTTACGTAGGCTATCTCAGCGTAACCTATCTCAAGGATCACCAGCTCATGGGAACCCCTTTAACTTTGAGGGATGTGCTGGGTAGAGACCCATTGGCTGGTGCACTGAAGTGAGGATACTTTCCTCTGCCTGTGACGGGTGGGGTCCCTTTTATTATTCTGAGCCATGATACCGCATCTGATGTGAAGGCCCCTCCCTGCTGACCCTCAGATTGGGGGAACCCTGACATGTTGGGCTTGGTGGGAGCCTTCTTTTCTGGGAGGTGAAAAGAGGCCTACTTGAGGTCCCCTAGCCTAGGGAGGGCACAGTGGTCTTTGCCATCCCTTCTGAGCATGTGCCTCTCCTCCTGACAGGTAGTAACAAACAGAGACACCCAGGAACTGCTGCTCTGCACTGCCTATGTCTTTGAGGTCTCAACCAGTGAGCGAGGGGCACAGCACCACATTTACCGCCTGGTTAGGGATTGAATGGGGACCCCACAACTGGCTATTCCCAGAACACCTTCCTCCCCCAGGAAGGACCCTTCGGCTCTCCCCATCCTTCTTATCTGGGGATGGGGCTGCGATGAAAAAGGGCTTACCTCAGAGGCCTGAGCAACTGGGGCTGTCCCCTCTCAGAATAGACCCCAAAACATGGTTGGTGAGCTGAATGGGTTGGAAGGATAAACCCCAATATTGAGATCTCACAGGGGGTGTCTGTAAGGACAGATCACTCTGGTGTATCAGGGATTGGGGACAGGAGTGAGACAACACTGGCTTCTCAGCCTCAGACAGGGCCCTTCTCCATTCTTCTGAAGTTTTGGGGCCCTAGTTTACACATTGGCTTGTCCCCCTTTCTGTTTTCCAGCTACCCCTTCCCCCATATGTGCCTCACCCTACCACCCCCTCTTGGTGATCTGTGATGTCACAAATTGAAGATAACCCTTTCTGTGCAGGAAATATTTTTTTTAATATAACAAGATATTTATACATGGGTGTTGAGTTTGTGACTTTATCTCAGCTGAGCAAGCAGTGGGTCGAAGCTTTCTAATCTCAACCCCCCTTCTAAGTCAGCCTTGGACTAGGCAGACTACTGCCTCCCGTTGGTTTCTGTTCTGAGGATAAAGCTATTTTACCAAAACGCAGGGGCTTTATTTGAGGTTTGGGCGAAAAATAATCTTGTGGAAGGTGGTAGACCAACGGATGAGGCAAAGAAGCGAAGTTTGTGTGGGGGCAGGAAGCTGGTGGGTGAAAGCCCCAGGTCCCTGGGGGCAGGCAGACACTGAGTCCCCAGGGGAGTGAGGACACTGTGGGCTTAAGGCCTGGGGCGAATTGGAGATGAAACAAGCTTTTACAGACCCAAGGGAAGTAAGTGTCCAAGACACCTGAAGGGGGCGCGGCCTAGCGGTATCGAGCGAGCCTGTCGTAGACGTGGTCCAGGTTTCTGCACAGGAATATCGAAAGCGTCATGAAGGCGAGCTATGGAGAAAGGAGACGCAATCAGAGATGGCAAAGGGGTGCCGGTGACCGGGGGCGATGAGGACCCCTGAGAGAGAAGTCGGATTGGGAGCCAGGGGAAAAAACTGAGGCTCCTAGAACTAAGGGAGTAGGTAGAATATGGGCGGGGTTCGAGAGCCCGAGGATGGCAGGCTGATGGGCAGTGATGCGGACGGGAACAGATGGGTAGGGGAAGTCCAGCTGCAGTGGATGGGGAGTTGGGTGGAGGTGGGGTAGAGGTCGAGTCTGAGAAGGAGTTAAGGACAAAAGCAAGCCCAGGGTCGTTTATTCTAGAAGCTCATCTGTCTCTCCCTCTGCCTCGGCCTCCACTTCTGTGCTCCCGCTCCGCGTCTCAGGTTGCTCCTCATCTTGATTCCAAAGCATTCAGGGCCCCAAGGCCATGGGCAGTTTGCTCTGTGGGGCCTTGCCTCCCCAGTTCGGACACGCACCCGCCATTCCCCTGCTACCCCACGGGGTGCTGCTACGCCCGCTGCTACTGCTGAGCACGCCACAGCGACCGCCACTGCCATCAGCACTCAAGCCGGGCGTGGGGTTCGAACCGTCGGCGCCCGGCACTTGCTGCTCGGGTTTTCGGCGGAGCGCTTTGCACTGTAGTTGCAGGCTCAGCACCATCACACTCACCTGCAGGGAAGCGGGAGGACACTGCAGCCAATAACAGGAGGGTTTCCCTGCGTATGGCCAATCAGAGCTCAAAGAAGCTAGGTCTACGCCCCCTCCCTTCCCCAGGGGTAGCGGCCAAGGACCTAGAAGGGCGGGTGCTCAGTTACGCATGCGTTGTTCCCAGACAACCAAAGGACGCACGGTTAGGGGCGGAGCCATGTGTAGACAAGCCAATCGCGAGAGTGGGTGGGGCTAAATCACCTCGAGTAAACCGATGCCCAGACAAATGCCCACTATGGAGATGAGGTTGTTGTGCAGCCACTTCCGGAGACTCTGAGCGCAGCCCTTAGGGATGTAGAGAAGGATTAAAGGTAGCATTTCTGGGATTCACCCTCAAACCCAGGGTTTTCCTCAGCCTAGCCCTCACCTTGCTTTCAGGTACCAGGGCACTTTGTAGTACCCTTAGTACGGTGCATCTGCCACACCTCTTCCAAGTTTTACACCTCCCTAGATGGCATTGTTCCAGACCCCGCCCCTTTCAGTTGTGCAGTGCCCTCTCTTAGCCCCACCCTTTCCTCAGAGCCCCGCCCACTTCAATTACCGGCCGCGCATTCTGATACCACGCCCCTCATGCAGGTCCCAGGTCCTTTCCAGCGTTTGCTCCAATCCTCCCTACCTCGTGGTAGATGTGATCATTTGCAGGCACCACGCAGAGGTCGGCACTGTGCCTGGGCCGCGCCCGCGGTCCGAGCCGGCTGAGCTGGGAGAAGAAAACCTTATCGAAGGTTGCGGAGTCGTTGGCTGCCGACGAGTTATAGCAGGAGCAGGGCACACGATGCGCCTCCGACTCGTTGCCTCTAAGGATGAGTACTTGGAACCAGTCCTGCGGAGAGTGCCAACCGCAGCAGCGCAGCTGGGAGAAGAATCCGGGTCAGGAACCGGGACTAGAGTGATGCAAAATGATGTTGGGGGACTAGGAGATGAGTATGAGGCCATGCTGCGGAGCAGGGGGCTGAATGATGAGTGCGGGGCGGGGGAAAGTGAGCTGAGCTGGGGTCTCAATGGTGCTAGGGCTAGGGGACATTATAGGAAGTCGGGAGATAATACATGAAGCACTGGGGTGGCCTGGGTCTGGGAGAGGGGCATCACGCTTTGGACCTGAGATTGGGTGGGCGGTGCAGTTCTATCCCTGAGGATAAATTGATGGCATTTGCGGGGCGATGTGTTTAGGGAGTGCAGGCTCATCCGGGTGGGGTTCTGTGGCAGGTGGGGGCTTTTGGGATTGTGTCAGGGGCGGAGTCTTGAGGCAGAGGGTGGAGCCCGCCAGGGTGTAGGTACTGGGGAATTAGGTTATGCTGGGACCAGTTATCATCTGGGCACAGGGCCGCGAGGAGTATGGCGAGGATTGGAAGGTATTAGTAAGGTTGCGCTGGAGTGCTGGAGCTGGAGGTTTGGGACTACGACCCGGCAGAGGGTCTTTGAAGCAGTGGGCACAGCAGAGCCACACCAGAATACAGGAGTTAAAGGAATGGTAAACCAGGGTGGGGTGGGGACTCACGCACCTGGAACTGCGCATAGTCCCAACTCTCCTCCGCCGCTGTTTCCTCGGGGTTGCTGCGGTAGTTTCGGATGGTCTCCAGCACGAGGTCCTGCACCCTTCGCTCCAGCTGAGAGGCCAGGGGTGAGGCTGGGCTCGATCTCCCCGAAGCGCTCCAGCTTCTCCCAGGGGATTCAGCCCAAGGGGTCCATGTATGCGTCTTTGCCGCGGCTTCGGTTTCTCTGAATGACTAGCTATATCTATGTTCCTCAGAATCTCTGCACTGTTTCCGGGGGGTCACTAGTCTCTATCGCTTTTCTCCACTCTTTCTAGGAGCCATTAAGACTCCATCGCTTCTTTGGGGGTCCCCCTCCCCCTCCTTCCCTCCCTCCCTCATTTATACGCTCCCAATTTCTCTGTCTGGTCTAAGTCGTCTACCTGTCTTTGTTGCTGTATCCCGCCACCTCCTCCCTCGACCCCTCCCCTCCTCTTTGGGCAGCCAGGAATGGGGTGGTGTCTGGGCCCAGCTCACCCGGATCCGCTGAGTGGAGATGAGGATTCCCAGGGTTATCTGCGTGGCAAACAGGAGCAACAGCATCCCAAAATACTGGGGGCAGAGTAGAGAGGTTAGGCTGGTCCCTCCCCAGTCCATTTCTCAAGGGGGCAGAATAGGAGTCCTGGGATGGGGAGGGGTGGGCACTCACCAGGCCCAGAAGGCAGCGCAGCTCCCTGAGGGCTCCCACACAACCCAGGAGCGCCAGACCCATGGTGAGGATTCCTGAGATGGCCAGGATCTTGGACCAGGTCTGCAGGGGCACGAAGGACAAGCCTGGGAGCAGTGAGATGTAGTGAGCGTGGGCACAGTTGCAGACAGAGCCCACCCAAGGCAGTCACCCAGGTCAGGGGCCATTCTCTGGGTTCCCATTGTCCCTTTCTCTAAATCTACCTGGCTCTCTCTGGAACTCTGTCCTTGTCCCACCCTGAATCAGTCTCTCTCCTTGTGAGATTTTCTCCTCCTGTTTCTGGGCCTCTGTCCTCCCCTCTCTGGATCTCTGTCCCTCTCTTTTGCTCTCACTCTCTTTTACTGTCACTTGTTCTGGGACATTGGTTCCATCACTTAAATCTCCCTGAGGCCAAGGAAGTAATGATATCTATTTCCTAGTTTGTTTTGTTTTTTTTTTCCTTAGACAGATTCTCCTTCTGTTGCCCAGATTGGCCTTGAACCCCTGGGTTCAAGCAATCATCCTTCCTCAACCTTTGGGGTAGATGGGACTACAGGTTTGTACCACTGTGCTAGTCTAGCCCTAGGGATCCACCCAACCACCACCACCAATACTGGGGATGGAACACTGGGTCTTGCACCAGCGCTAGGCAAGCATTCTACCATTTGCATCCTTTTTTTGTTTCTTTGTTTGTGAGACAGGGTCTTGCCAATTCTTGAGCCTTCTCCCTCTCTAGTAGCTGAGATTACAGGCAGAGATCACTGTGCCCAGCCCTAGGACCGTTTTGAAGGACACATGGGAGCATGTGTTCAACCCATCCATCAACACAGGACAAACACTTACTAAATATGAGCTATTAGGGCTTTGCTGATTACTCCATTATTATTTTGCTTATTCTTATTATTCATATTATTCTGATCTTTTCCTCCTTGCTGGGTGACACTGTGCACCTCAAGAGAGAGGAAGGTTTGGGACTGGGGGCACAGCTCAAGCGGTAGAGTGCTTGCCTAGCAAGACAAAGCTTTGTGTTGAATCCCTAGTACTGCAAAAAAAAAAAAAAAAAGATGGGGGGAGGGGAGAGGAAGGTTTGTGGGAGGGTTGATGAACATCAGCCCAAGGTCTTGATACAGGAAGTATGCTGGGAAGATGGCTCTCATTCTCAATGCTCTTATTATTATTGGTATTATTGTTGTTGGTACATACAACCCCGAGGACCAGAGGAAGTTACAGGCTCCAAGAGGCATAGCTACAGTGACGAGTAGTAGCCAGAGCCTAGGACATGCCTGGGGAGTTGGATACCATGGACCTCCCTGGGACAAGGAAGACCGCAGGAGATCACTTGGTGGGGGGGGCATCTGGGTCCTGGTCTGCTCTGGGAAGGCCCTCCCTGGCTGCCCAGCCCCCTCACCCACAAAGGACACGAAGCTGGTCCTGTCGATGAGTATCCAGATGCCGAAACAGAAGATCAGGCTGCCTAGGACCTGGGGATTGGGGGGAGAGGGAAGATGAAGAGTGGGTAAAGGCAGGTCTGAGGTCGGGGCTGCGGCAGGGGCTGGGGCTGGGGCTGGGATATGGGTAAGAAACTCACGAAGAAGAAGAGGTTGAAAACGAAGAGGAAGTACTTGATGAGGCTGAGGCAGCTCTCCTGGGCTGACATCTTCACCTAGAGGGGGAGCGACCAGCTCGAGGGACCAGACAGAAGAGGTGTTGGCAGTGGTGGGAGACAGGCAGAAAGACAGAGGCCCAGAAGGAGAGAGAGAGAGAGAGAGAGAGAGAGAGAGAGAGCAAGGCTGAGAGGAGACAGAAAGGAAGAACACAGAGAAAGAGGAAGTCCCAGGGTGGGGCCCCACCCCCTCCCTATTCGCGAGGTGACTGTTAATCCATCTCTGACCCTGTCTCCCTCACCTGCCCACTAGGACACACACCAGTACCTGACGAGCCTTGGAATTGGGGGGCACCAAGAACACAGTGGTTGGTTCCTCCCTGGTCTCCATGGCACAGGCTGGGGGATGCACAGGACTCTTTGAACTACTTGTACCTGCCTCTGGGCACCGGGACCCCAGGGGTGTCCCTGGACAGCAGCCGACCTCACAGACAACTCTGACCTCATGGCCTGCTAAGCTCTGCCATCTCTACATCCTGCTCTGTCTCCTTCCCTGTCTCTGGGCCTCTGTCCCCTTTTCTCTCCAGGTCTCTGTCCATCTCTTGATGTCTGTCTGTCTAGGTCTCTGTGTCTCTCTTTCTACCTCCTTCCCATCTCTGTCCCCTTTTCTCTGGTGTCTCTATCTCTGTTGCTCTGTCTAGGTCTCTCTCCCCCTGTGTCTGGGTTTCTGTTCCCCTGTTTAGTTCTCTCACCTCTTTTCTATCTCTGCCCCCTTTTTCTCTGGATTTCTGTCTCCCTTTCTCTCTGTGTCTCTATCACCCTTTCTCTCTGGGTCTCTGTCCCCTTTCTCTGGTCTCTGTCCCTGTCTGTTTAGGACTCTGTTTCTCTCTCTCTTTGTCTCTGTCTCCCTATCTCTAGATCTCTGTTCCCCCTTTCTCTCTGAGTCCCTGTCCTCCTCTCCCTGGATCTCTGGTCCCCTCTCTGTGGGTCCCTGTCCCCTTCTGTGTTGATCATTGTCTTTCTCTGTCTGGGTCGCTGTCCTCCTGTTTCAGGGTCTCTGTCCTCCTCTCTCTCTGGGTCTCTGTCCCCCTCTCTGTGTGTGTCTGGTCTCTTCTCTCTGGATCCCTGTCCTTTCTGTATCCTCCCCTCCCCCCTTGTTTTTGCTTCTCTCCAGGGAGTTTGCATTCTGTTTTAACTAGGGTGCTCCCACGTGCTGGGGCCGGGGCTGGGCACCTGGGGGGAAGTGAAAGTGTACAGGCCGGAGGTGGGAAGGTCCCTGGCAATGGGGAGGGTGGCCAGGCTGTGCCAGCACACCCGGCAACTGCACCGGAAGCCAAGCCTTGGCAGTACTTCCTGCCTCTGTAGAGGGGCCTGAGGGGAGAAGGAAGGCCCCAGTGGAGCTAGGGGTTCAGGGAGTCTGATTGCTGGGTGCCCCCAGGAGCCTCTCTAGGCTCCCCAGATGTCCCCAGAGCCCCCCTACTCTTGACAAGTCCCTCACAGATTTCCTTACCCCACGGGTTTCTCCTCTGTGGAGTCATCCACCTAGAACCTGGGAAGGTGACTTCTGAGGACCAGCTACCTATCTTCTGAGAGTTGGAGCCAACTGACTTCTGGATGTCTCTTGAAACCCTCAACCTCTCCACATTCCATACAGAGATTAGGGATCTGCCCCAAAATTCTCTCCCTTGCCTGGTTTCCCCATGGGAGCCAGCCCCAGCATCTACCCAGTCACTGGGCCAAACCTCTAGGTCCCTCTCTCTGCCTCTTCCACACACCTGCCAGTCCCACAGCAAGATTCTTTCCCTCCCTCCCCCTCCTCTATGTCAGTGGTCCTGCCTGTCCTTGAGGTGCAGGCTGGTTCAGGACCCTTGTCCTTTCCCCTGGACCCTGACCTCAGACATCTCTGGGCTGTATTCTTTCCTTCCAGTCCATCCCCCACTAGCCCCACAGTGGACTTTTAAAAACACAGATTGGAATCACACAGTTTTATGTCTCAATCCCAGTGTTGACAGGACTCAGCACCCCCTCCTCCCTTAGCTCCTACTAAGAAGTTAGTACAAACTCCTCTGTCAAAATAAATTGCAAATTCATTTTCTCTTTCCTCTCATTTTCTCTCTCTCATAATGAAAGTGATAGTAAAGTTTATTAGGAAAGGAATATTCTTTCAGTAGACTGAAGACAGGTGGTCTTAGAAAGGGAGAGCAAGAACAACCCTTTTCTCTCTTCATTCAGGGCCTATTGTACAAAATAATGGATTTCATTATAACATTTTCATATGTGTATGCTATATACTGTGATCCTATTCACCCCCCATTGCTGTTTTTTGTCCCCCCTTTCCCCTCCCTCTGGCCCCCTTCCTCTTCCCAGATAGTCCCCCTTCTACTTTCATGTCTTTTTTTTTTTTTTGCAGTACTGGGGCTTGAACTCAGGGCTTTCACCTTGAGCCACTCCACCAGCCCTTTTTTGTGATGGGTATTTCCAAGATAGGGTCTCTCAAGCTTTTTGCCCAGGCTGGCCTCGAACCACAATCCTCCTGATCTCTGTCTCCTGAGTAGCTAGGATTACAGGCATGAGTCACAGTGCCCAGTAATATTTGTCTTTTTGAGTGTGGCTTCATTTAACATGATGATCTCTAGTGCCCTCCCTTTTCCTGCAAATGATATAATTTTGCTCTTTTTATGACTGAACAATATTTCAGTGTGTGGATATACTGCATTTTCTTTATTCATTATCCATTGACTCCAGCACTTGACTATTGTAAATTGTGCCACAATAAACTTGGGTGTGCACGTATCTCTAGTGTATGCTGACTTATATTCCTTTGGACATATGCCCAGGAATGGTATAGCAGGGTTACATGGTTGTAGTTCTGTTTTTATTCTTTTAAGGAGCCTCCATACTAATATCCATAGTATTCCCACCATCATTGTGTGTGTAAAAGGGTTCCTCCTCCATCCTCAGCAACATTTCTGTCTTTTTTTTGTGTGTGTGGTACTGGGGTTTGAACTCAGGACCTCACGCTTGCTAGGCAGGCACTCTTACCATTTGAGCCACTCTACTATCCCTTTTTTGTGATTTTTTTTTTTTTTGAGATGGGGTCTCATGCGTTATTTGCCCAGGACTGGCTTTGAACCTCGATCCTCCTGAGTAGCTAGGATTACACGTGTGAGCCACTGGTGCCTGGCTATAAACAGTTACTGACTTATTGATACTTATCCTGGTTCCTTGAACTCACAGATTTTCCTGCCACAGAGCCTTTGCACAGCTTTGGGGCCTGAGATATTCACATTCCACTTTTCACCTGTTTATCATCCTTTAAGCTTCAATTCCAATGTTACTTCTTCAGAGAACTCTTCCCCCTAAAGTAGATCTATGGCTGTCTTTTGTGTCATAGAATTTAAAAAACGATTTGTAATCGTGTAATTATTTTGGATTAATCACATATCTGTTTTCCCATTGTGTGAAGCCAAAAATGAGGGCAGTGGTGGAGTCTGTACTGCTGTCCACAGTTTTCCCAGCGCCTGATGCTGAAGAATTGAATGATTTCCATACACTGTGAAGAATTCTTACATCACCCAGAATGTTTCCTTTACATCTTCTGTTCAATCACAGTAATTTAAACCTGTGGTTCTTGAAGTGTGGACCAGGGACTACTGGGGCTTCATAAGACATTTTCAGGGGTCCATGAGATGAACATTTTTATAATAGTAGGATGTTATTTGTCTCTCTCCTTCTGTCTCTGATGGGACTGGAGTTTTAATTCAGGGCTTCACACCTGCAAAGCACTCTACCTCTTGAGCTACACCCCCAGTTCTCATTTTCTCTTGAATGTATAGAGCTATTTTCCAGAAGCTAGAGGACACGAACGACTTACTTTGACAATCTCAGTGCAGAAGCAACTATGGGAATCCAACAGTCTTCTATTCAAAAGATTTGCAAAAATGTAAACCAATATCATGCATCTCACTGAATTTTCTTTTGGTGTGGAAATTATAATTATTCTTATAAAAGTGTTATTTATGTTAAGCCGAATGGATTTTTTGTTTTTGTTTTTTATTGCAGGGTCTCACTATATAGCTAAGGCCAGCCTGGAACTTGTGATTCTCTTGCCTCAGCCTCCCCAGTGCTGGGATTGTTGGTTCATAATGCTGTTTTTTTTTTGTGGGACTGAGGTTTGAACTCAGGGCTTCACACTTGCAAAGCAGACATGCTACCTCTTGAGTCACAACTGCAGTCCATTTTGCTCTGATTATTTTGGAGATGGGGGTCTTGTGAACTATTTGCCTAGGCTGCCCTCGAACCTCCATCCTAGATCCTCCCAATCTCAGCTAGGATTACAGACATGAGCCACTGGTGCCAGGATCATAATGGATTGTTAAATGACAATAACTCTTAAGAATTCCCCATGTTGATAGATATTATACATAACCACACTATCCACATAGCCAACTCCTATGATTGGGGTCCCTGAAATGCAAATGTGAGTCAGAGACCAAAAAGTTCGAAAACGGCTGATCAGTGTTAACCTGCTTGAGATTTTAATTCTCTGCCACCCCAGTAGATTTCTCTGTTTTAAGGCAAGACCTTTGTTTGCCTCGTGGGATGCATTTGAAGGTGTGGCTACTGGTAGGGCAACTCTGGGTGTCAATGGCATGAAGTCTGGGAGCAAGGAACGAACAAGTGGATGAAGACTCCCACCTCATCCCCACTTTCTCCTTACTTGGTAGCTTGAAAGCAAAGCGTAGGGGTCAGATAGTTGCGGAGGACATGCGGCGCATGCGCAGTCAGAGTGTGTGCGTATGGGGATCGCAGGAGGGCGGGAAGGGCGGGGCGGCCAATTCATTCGCCACCTCAGTAGGGGGTGCGCGAGGAGAGCATCAACGCATGCGCAGACAAACGGCGGGAAAGGCTGCGTGCGAGCGCAAGGAACGTCGCGGGAGCGGTTCAGGCGAGGTCCGATGGGGCCTGAGCAGGTTGCTAGGTTTCTCAGAGGAATCTTTCTCACTCTTTTTTTTTTTTAACCTGACTGAGTGGACCGAAGAGCCGTGTGGGGATTTCAAGGTCAGGTGAAGGTTACTTGGCCTCGGGGACCTTGAAGTTCACAGATGTGGGTGTGAGAGGTGGGGCGCCATTCTCGAGGCTGAGGGTCGTTGCATTCCCCCAGGGGTAACAGGCTGCCAGGCGGCA